CCGTCATTGTTGTTTGGCGGGTCCGGGCTGGGGATTCGAACCCGCCACCTTAGGTGTACGTGGCTGGCGCCTTAGCCGGTTGAGCTATAGGCGTTGAGCCAAGAACTTTTTACCTTTTTTTATTTTTTAGATTTTGCTTTTATTTGACACATAACAATTCTAACGTCTTTATGGGGTACAGCATGATGTTTCAAGAGACAACTTTAGACCACCTGGGTCCTTGCACTTTGGGAGACATGAAAATAAATTCAAAAAATCTCTAGTTCTAAAACAGAATTTCTAAACTTATGCATTCTCCAATGTTATAAGAACTGTCAAAGTTTCACAGAAACAATTTTATTTCAAAGGTAAACTCTATGAAGTTGCCTAAAGACAAATAATTATCCATGAATCAAAGCTAGAATATAAAAGGACTATTCAAATTTAGAAATAAATTCTCGATATTTTTAACCCATCAATATTTTGAATTAATTGTGGCAAAATATTCTAATAATCATGTAACTCAGGTCCAGAGACGACAGCATTAAGATAGTGAGTTTGCTGGGATTAACACACAGTGGAAACCTTTTGATATGTGTTTTCATCTTTATAGAATAGAGAAAGAGATTATCTTTAGATCAGCGTTATCCTCCATATATAGGAATATTGCCTCTGTTATTATTAATGTCTGTCTAGACTCTCAAAAAAATAAAAATCAGAAAACCAATGAAGCTATTTTCTAATATTACTGCTGCCAAAACTCCTTAATTTGTTTGACTGTTCCCAGAGTGCAGAATTATTTCTTATACCTATCTCACTTTCCTAGAGCATCAAGCCTGGCTGTTTACTCAAAGCACATGTCCCACAAATATTTGCTAAATTGAAATTCAACATTAGCTTCAAACATCCTCTTTCAGAGCTCTCCTATTTGCCCAAAGGTGTTTATAAAAATCAGCACTGTTTATCAACGAACTGTAAGGCAGAGTAAAGAATGCTGAGTAATTCCCCTCAACTGTACAGAGAATCCCCGGAGGTCACAATACAAACACTACCAGAATCCAAAGCAGGAAACACCTCGTTTTTCAGAAGCTACCACTAGACCAACCCTAAAGTTATCTTCTATCAACTCCAAGTAAAACAACAAGGAAACGCAGTGTGAAAGCACTTATTCATTCACAGAAAGCCTTTAACCTTTAGTTTCACAGCCAAGTTACCCCACTGTAAAATGCACATCATTTTAGACCTGGAAGAGATCAGGAAGAGTACACCAGGAAGAGTTGCTGAATGAATAACAATGTTACATATGCTATTCATGGCCAGGTCCTACAGCAGATGCCTGTACAGAGTACCAGAGAACAAGAAGGGGATTGCTACAAGTGGCCAGACAGGGAAGGGAAGATGTCAGAGTGAAGAGTAGCATTCTTGGAGTTCACCACACAGTTTAAGGGGCGGAAAGACATCTTAGGTGGAGGTAACAGCAGATGCAAAGGAAAGGATACCAACAGAGAATCCAGGGGGAAGCCGCTGGCAATTCAGTGTGGCCAAAGGTTATGGTGTGAGGGAGGACATGGCAAAAGAAGAAACTGGAAAGTAGGCTAATTCAGATCTTCAATACTATTAGTACATGGACTTGATCCTCCAGGCAATGATCAGCTTTGCAGCTCAGGAACATGTCAGACCAACTAGAATTAAACCACCACTAACTAGAAGCCTAATAACCAAATAACACTGCATCTTACTCTCTGAAGAAAAAAATAGCAAACCCTCTTACAAACAATTTGAGAAAATTCAGATACACATACAATTCCCATGGATATCCCAGGTATAGTAAAGAACAAAACTTTAGCCATTGTGTTCCCAAACCACATCTGTATTTAATAAAACCACATTTTAGTAAAAGGCGAAAGATTTATGCAATCTGAAGAGAAATCAGAGTATAATAAAACCACATTTTAAAAAGGCTAAGGGACTTAAATGAGATCTTAGTTAATGACAGGAACAGGACAAAATCTTAGTCCAAGGTACTTCCTAGTTCACTACAACTGTAAACAACTTTATTGCTCCTTCCCTCATGCAAGGAAAGTCTCTGAAAGACAGAAGAAAGCCAAGGAGAATAGAGAGCAGAGGGGGTGAGAGGATAAACAGCATGAATACTAGAATCAGGCTTACATGCCGCGAGCACTACATAAATTCTCACCATCATTCATGATCATCTCTCTGAAGAATCATAAAATCGCTGGTGGTTCACAGCAACCCCCACTGCAGCTTTTCATATGTGATTCGAAAGTAGGCAAAGACCAAGAGCTGTAAACATGTGGTGATGTTCTACCTTTGGGGGGAGGGCTCTTGGAGTCTTCCATAGACAGCTTCAGCTGCTGTATGAACTCGCCGCCATACACACTTCTTTCTTGCCAGATGTTCAGCAATCTTTCTAAAGGTTTTTTACAGCCTTCATCTGCCTCTCTGCCCAGAAAAGATGAAAAGATACATATAAGCTTATGAATTTTTGTTTTTAATTAGGACAGATCTATGTTTTCAAAAAAAATCAACAACTGACTAAATGAGTTACATATTTAAAACCAAAAGAAGAATAAGGTACACATCACAATACTCAAATACCCCAAACTTGACCAAAACTGTATATATTCTTCCTGTGTGGTTAGGGAGAGATCATGTCATAGAAGTAATCTGTCTTTTTTCCTCTTTGAAAGATGGTGCAAATAGGGTGAAAAGCAAATGGCTGATTTTTATAGGGAATTGTCAAAAATTAATCATATTGGCTTGGCGCCCATAGCTCAGTGAGTAGGGCGCCGGCCACATACACAGAAGCTGGCAGGTTTGAGCCTGGCTTGGGTCTGCTAAAGAACAATGACATCTGCAACCAAAAAATAGTCAGGCATTGTGACAGGTGCCTGTAATCCCAGCTACTTGGGAGGCTGAGGCAAGAAAATTGCTTGAGCTCAAGAGTTTGAGGTTGCTGTGAGCTGTGATGCCACAGCACTCTACCAAGGGCAACTTAGTGAGACTGTCTCCCCTCCGTCCCAAAAAATAATTGATCATATTAATTTTAACACCTGGCTTTTTAAGAAAACATTAATTGAAATGTACTGTCAGAATTATGCTAGAAATTAAACTGGGCCAAAACTCTCAAGGACAGAAAAATATGATTTAAAAACCTATAAATGTGGCTCGGCGCCTGTGGTCAAGTGGCTAAGGCGCCAGCCACATACACCTAAGGTGGCAGGTTCAAATCCAGCCCAAGCTCGTCAAAAAAACAACAATGATGGC